TATATATATATATATATATATATATATATATATATATATATATATATATATATATATATATATATATATATATATATATATATATATATATATATATATATATATATATATATACATAGACGTATGGAAAATATGGATGATAAAAGTTTATTTAGTAATAGATTTATAAATTTGATTGAATTATTTTACAAATCATTGGCAACAATAAGCAAATATCTCTTGTTGGAAACAATTACTATTCTCAGGACAGAACTTATCACCGCAACTTTTTCCCAATAATGCAACACTGAAATTATCTCTACCATCAATCTTCACCAATTTTCCCTTCGCACATGAAGGATTGAAATTTTGCTCAAATAATTCTGCAAATAATTTCATTTTTCATTTTTCATTTAGCATTTAAGAATAATTAATAAGCATATATTGTATAAAATAAGCCTAATTAATGACAAATACAATTATCCTGATTTAAGTTAATCTTTCAAATCTTGATTTATCTTTGAAAGGAATAATCTAGAAATGTGATAAAATTGAAAATAAATTAATTAATTAAAATTTTAAAGTGAAAAAAAACAGAACACCTTATTACCTTCAGTTTTTCTGGGGCAACAAATCCCAAAGAATGCCAAATGTCTGCATATGTATTTCTCAGGACACGGAATAGAAACTGGCCCAGAACAGATCACCGTATTACTCTCATTATCCTCATATGCTTTTGCTTTCATTGCACACCAACCAAAATCTTCTGAAATATTATTGAGTTGTTGTTGCTTTGAATAAAATATATTTTACTTTAGCAAGCATAGGAAGCCAAATATAGCATTTCTTTGACCATCCAATTAATCAACAATTCACATTTTATCTAAAGATAGAATAGGATTTTCTTTCTTTTTTTTTAACGATATATTTATAAATAATTTAATATATCAATTTATAAGTTATTTAATTTAATTTGAAGATTTCAAAAAAAAAAATTGAAATTTTTAAGAAAAAACTTACGTGGAATACAACTTAGTCTACATTCTTCAATACTTATAAAACGATTTTCATTGCCACCACAACCTTCATATAGAAATGGTAAACATTGTTCTGTTTCATTATCAAAATAGAACTGTAACTTTTCGTCTGACTTTATCATTTATCACAACTCTAAAAGATATTTTTCAATTTTGAAATAAATAATCCTAAATTATTTTTAAAATTTATAAAGTAAGCATTCAATTTGTTGTATTTTTGAAATTGATTGTTTGAAATAAATGAAGAAAATATCTTTTAGATATTACCGTAACTTTTGATTCTGTATCATTTTTACAACGATATCCGTAATCTTTCATTGCTTTACAGTTATTTGAAAAACTGAAAATTATCATGATATAATGATAGCATAATCAATAACATATCTTTTAAGATAGATACTATATTTTGGTATCTCATTCAATAGAATCAATCATTTATAGATGTACATGAAGGATCTATTGGCCAATAAAGCAAAGGTGTATTGGTCAAATTATTAATCCTTGGAATATTTTAACTTTAATTAATTAGTTTAGAATAACTATCCACAATTATTTTTGAAAATTTTCGGTATCCTTCAAACATTATTTCATTTTTTAGCATTTATCAAGTTTTTTTTTTCGTTAAAAATGACAAAAGATAATTTTAATGATATTTTTACAAACTTTTACAAACTACAATTACAAATGAATTACCAATTACTGCCAGTTGTCCAAATTAGTATGAATAAAAAGATAATTTGCGCAATCGTACAATTCGTAATAATCTTCAACATTTCCGCTGTCATTACGTAAACTTATTGATCCTAAAAAGAGATATTCATAAAATTTGCATAAAAATTAAGAAACTTAACCAATACAATTAGATGTAATATATTGAATAAAATTTAAAAATGTTATAAAATGAGTGAATGTAATTGCAAAACAATCATCTTTTCCGATAATCTTTTAATGAGAAGTTGATATGAAAGTGTATGTATGTGATTGAGATGATTAATAGCATTAAATTTAAATTTAAATTGATGTTGAAAATTACAAGAAAAATTCTGATTGATATGATTATGTACCCATCATTTCAATATATTATATTCAATCATTTCGAAACAAACTTTAAGCTTAAGTTTCTATTAAATATGACAAATGCGCCCTTTATTTTTCAAGCAAAATATATATATATCATTAAATGGTGACAAATGCGCTTTTATCTTTTAAACAAAATATATATGATAATGATTAAGGGAAAAATACGATAGAGATGAAATTTGATAGAAAATGGAATTTTTTTTTTTTGTTTTGTTACAACATGTATC